GGCAGCATTCGTACAAATACACAGCGTTGGAATTAGCAACCTGAGTCGGACACCCCTCAAGTTATGTTACCTAATTGGACATCCCCTTTGGTGCCATTGACCCTGATTTCAGGCCAGCCGATTTGCGGCATCCATTGGCGCCTTGGACGAGGCCAGCCAGTGGACTGGCACCGCTACATAAAGCTAAGCGGATCTTTTCTGCGGTGAGGGGTTCCAGATAGTTTAAACACTTGAGAGGCGGCATTTGGTGGAGGCAGGTGAAGAGTCCCTGCTTATTGTCTTCTCTCCCCTCTTTCTCCTCTTCTCATATATGTTTGTCGTGCACTTGCTGGCATGTGTGTCTGAATTTGCTGATACCCTCACATATCCCCAGTGACAATACCCATTTGGCAGGCCAGAGGAACCACCCAAAACTTATACAATTTGGGAGCTCCCATGTTTGGTCCCTCAAACGACGAGAAGCAGCGAACGTGCAAGGAAGGTCGCCCTCCTGAAATAACCCGCGAGAATGCAGAGAAGATGGGTGTGGCGTGGCAAATCCAGAGTTATTAGAGATTTGGAGCTGCTGAAGGAGAGGCCGGTTTGGACGCGCCAATTCCCATTATACGCGTATAGTGGTTGCGAAGTGATCCTGCTTTGACTTCTGTGGTCCCGGAACTCCGGTGAATGGCTGCAAAGACCGCAGGGAAAGATAGTATCATACCTGGAGTGACAAATTTCAGGATTTCATTTACGAGCGTCTCAGTGTTCTGCAAGAGTCACGCGAGATGGATGCATCAAGCACATGGCTCCAAATACATCCGTTGCATTTGTATATCCCCAACACATCGCAATACAGTCGCAACATGCGCCTCCGGCCTCTTGATGCTTAGCCTGCTCAGGTGGTTGACATCCAAGATCCTTGCGTGTACATCGTCGCCGCACCGCCGAAGTAGGGAGAGGATAGTCATTGAATGTGGCACGTCGAAGCAATGCGCATCCCCCTCACAGCCCAACTAGTACCAGGGATGCAGAGTGTGGAGAAGCATAGTCCGTCTTCTCATTCAATTCCAACAAAATTGCCAACAGCATGGGCAGTATTTTGACAATCGATTGTCTAGGATGCGACACAGCTGGGCAAACTGCACTAAGACCCGGTGATGTGTGTGCAAAGGCACCGAAGACAGGTCCTTTACCACGCGAGAAAAAGCTGCATCACTCTCCAACCCGTAAAAGGTTGTCTCGCTCCGGGAATGGATCTGGCTTCTCACACGATCCCGTTTGACCCAAAGGGTCTGGGCTACGCATCAAACTGTTTGTCAAGATCATAGCGCTTTGTCCAACAATTGGAGAAGACTTGTTTCGTCTGTACGTTTCCAGCAACATCGTGCATGAGAAACAGCAATGACTTGGCAAAGCTTGCCACGAAGCAGCAAGAGCGAAGCTACCCGCTTGCCATTCAGCAGGCTCCGGCCACGGTCACGGAGTACTGGCAGCATGCCTGCAGGGAGCCGGCTGCGGTACACATAGCTTTGGAGTTTCAACACAACCTTTGGCAAAGTGTTTTGACAGAAAGTGTAAGATCATTTCCAACGAACGTGATCCGCTGAGAAAGCCTGTGGCAGGGTTGCAACGCAGGACTCTTGTTGAGAAGGCATCATGCTTCCTTGCGGTGATGTCATTCGTTTAGCGGTTACGTGCAAAAGTTGTGAAGGCTTGTCCTTGTTTGTGGGTGGTGCAATTCGGATCGCAGTGTAGGTGTGTTCGTGCCTGGATTCTGTCTTGCAGATGTATTGCGGTTCGGGCTTGTCGGCTTGGAGCAGAACCAAGTTTGTACGCAAAGTTTTGTACGCAATGCATCCAAGCTTGGAGAGCTGCTGTCTTCCAAGCAAAAAAACAGCAGACAGGGGAATGATTGAAAGGGGTGCGAGCACACTGGCATCCTAGTCCCAACGGAAAACTTGAAGTCGACCTAGGTATTCTTTTGGTCCTCCATCGACAGCGGTTCCTGGCAGCCACACTTTTCCGTACCATGCACCTGGGCTGAATCCAGGTTTGGCAATGTGGGTGACGGGTCAAAGTTAAAAAAACAGCCTGCAAGTTTACGGCCCTCAAGTTGAGAAGTAAAGATCCCTAGAATCGAAGCTTGCCTCCGGATCTCTGGGCCCAGCAACCTGCGCAAGGAGATGACGGTCCTAGCACTGCCTGCCAGCTGGCTTTGTACTGAGGATCCCATGCGCGGAGCGAGGCCAGTCCGGGCCCGGGCTGTGTCAATGGGATGATGCGGGATGATGCGGCATTGGGCAATTGCCAGTCGGGATGGCTTGGGCATTGGGGTTGCGTTGGCAAAGGCTTTTCTTCTCGCATGGAGCCGGCACATTACCGAGCAATTGGAATTGCCAATCCCGCATATATGTCTCAGTCATAAGTTGCAACTGCCTGTCGCTCAACTTGTAGATCTCAAGCCGCTGAGGGTGGCCCCGAAGTCAAGCAGTTCAACCCCCAAGACAGCTGAGTCCAGGTTGAGCGAGGTTTGAATTTCATGATGGATCTTAGATCTGCAAGGTCCTTCAGTTTCGCTGTTGTCTGGCACTTGAGCCTTCTACCAGGTGGAAGGGCTTCCAAGATGATGCCTTGGACTATGCAATCCAGAGCCATGAGGACTGCTTGCAGACCTCCAGTCTCCGGATTACATTAAGGATTTAGTCGAAGGGCTTTTGTTTTATTCTGTTCTGGCTCGCTCCGCTACTTTTCTACAATATACATTATTCTCTAGTTTGCTCGAATACGTCATGGTGCCTCCTGTACTTCTTGGAGTATATGTTCGCAGTTGAAGAGAACAAGCCTTCGTTGTAGCAGTCGCGGAGATTTGCAGTATTCCAGGCTGGTGGTCTGCCACAAATTGCACATTTGTTGAGCTTACAAAGAATGCTTGTCAATGCTCAGCGTTATGGCGTCGTCAGAGTATTTCCAGCTGCATGATGCGTACTGACCCTTTCTGCATACTTCGTCTTCATCTTTTGGCGGACGCCTGAACCACAGATCCCCTAGTCCTTGAGCAATAAGTGGTGCTGGCGGCAGTATCCGCAGGTATGGTTGTAGCAGCATGTAGCAACTATACCTGCCATAGCTGTGGTGTGCCAGCACCAGTAGCCGGCCTGAGTATCACCCGCAGGAAACAAATCAGTACTGAGTACTGGGATGGCTGGCTTCTTTCCCTTCGATGGATTTTCGTGGTTGAGAAGGGGTCGGTTGTAGAAGTACTTCGACTAACTATTAAATCTCTCGCTGGGACATTGCTGGTAGAGTGACATGGTGTTTAGTGACGTACCTGTACGACCTTTGTCTTGACAGAATTTCTACTTCTACTCAAAACATTTAGTGAGAGCGATTTTCCCAAACCCACCTGAACTGGTGCCGGGTGATGATACGTTCTCTGGGCGAATCGACAAGGACTACAGTGCTAAGATGCCACTGATGCAATTGCGACACGAGGCTTTCATGCCGGAACCCTAGATCCAGAGGCGAACGGATTGTGCAAGCAAAGCAGCTGACCGAGAAAAAGACCTCACTGTCACAGCAAGTGCCTGTCAGGGTGTTTCCAGTTCTTGTTTTTCTAGATATTGCTTGCACATGTTTAGTAAAAAAACATCCTTGCGCTTCATCGTGCTCAGCAGAAGGCGTGAGTTCCGGCACCTCTTTCGCTATCCTGGGGGAGCCAGCCCCGGCTCTGCTTCATGCTGCTCGGCAGGTTGGATACTATGACTAGATCTGTGGACGTTTCTATACGATGGCTCTCATATCCTCTGCTACATCTTTGTGGCACCATTATCCGCAGTGTTCTTTCGTCTTTGCAAGCACAGGAAGTTGAGGACTTGTCCGTCGTGAGAGTTTTTTGGGGAGGGCTGTTGTCATTAATGTTACATGATCCTGGCAATGCATGCAGCGGTCCCTCATACAAAGTTGCCCAGGGAGCAAGGAGCGGCCTCCGCCGGTTCGGCGCATCGCGGTGCGGGGCTTGGGCTGGATAGTTAGGGATTGGCCCACACCTGCTTAAATTTCCCATGCAACATTGGGGGTGTTCGAGCTGCCTTAGATCCTAGAACATCCTAGAGTTGCAGGCTTAATTAGATGGAAGCTCAATCGCAGGAGCCGGAGCCAGAGCGTGCTGAGCCTGCCTGGCATGGTTGCTCCTCGTCAGGGGGTGCCATGGAGCTGCAGGCTTCAGGGTCTACAAGTTGAGCTGTTTCCGCTTGGTCATGCGTTTGCTGTGCCAGCGCTACATGTAGCACATGCAAATGCAGATATCACGCATCCTTTCCGGTTTGGCCCAGTGGTAAAAAATGGTGAGACCTCGGGTGGCCAGGCAGATCGCAGTCCAGATGTGAGCTGACTCCGAGATCCTGAAGCCTAGCTCAACACCTCAACTGCAGAGCAGATGCTTCAGCTTGAAAGCCATGCGCGCTGAGCCACTCACATGGGTATAGGACTTTGCACTGATTAATTTCTGACCAGTTGGAGCAGGTGGCTGACGCGTTTCACTTCCTGTGTTTCAAACTTAGCCTCCAACATCTGAAGACTCCATGGTGGCCTTTTGCAGAGCAAGCCAAACTCCGGTTGTCGAATATGCCCTGCTCGGTAGAATGGGAGCTGTCTCTACACACACCCACTTTGCAGCCTTGGTTTGGCCAGATTTCGATTGCAGGTGTCCAAATTCTTACTCCTAGAAATGTTACCAGTTTTCATTGATTTCATGAGCACAGAAAGAATCACACTATCATACTCTCCTGGTAGCATTTATGAGCGCGGCAAGAACCATACTATCATACTTTCCCATACTCCACTGTATTCAAACATAGTTCCGGGACGGGCCAGCCATGCTATCTTGGGCACATCTAGTATCCTTTGCCATGTCCTCATATTTTAAGTGCAGAATGTGCAGACCTGAGGAAAGACTGACTGGCAAGGTGAGAGGCCCGGTTCATCGTCTCTCATTTGGTCGTAGTTTTTGGTTTGGTCTTTGTTCACGGCTGGTCCCTTTGAAAAACGAAAAGGTTTTTGATTCAATTTCAATCGTAAAGACAGAACTTTGAAACCAAAGCGATTGTGAACATCTCAGATGTTTGCAAGGTTTCATTGGCTCCTTGAACTGGCAGAACACGACTGCCATTGAGCAGGGCACACGGAGGTGTTTAAGCACCATCTTGTAAAGTATCGAGACATGGAAGTACCGCTGCGCCGCGCCTGGCTACAAGCTTCCTTTAGTAGTGAAGTAGTGACATGCAAACCTAGTCGTCTGCCAGCTCCTGAGCTGCTGACCTCCCCGACTCTTCCTACATCTCAGCTCCACTCTCGGACCCAGACTCCTTGCACAGCACCCCCCCCCAGAAAACATCAGTAAATCCTCTTGGCTGCCCTATGGCCGAGATCCTGGCTGCTTCTTGGATTTCTTTGCAGTTGGAGGGAATATGCCATGTGCTATGATTCACTTTGAGCTATCTTCGATTTGGATGGGCAATCTGCCCCAATTAACTTCCCAGCCAAGATCTGAAAGGCTTCTCAAGCATTCCAGGACAGTACTTTAAGGTTTGCATTCCTGTGCTACAGCTCGTTGTCATGCGTCAAAGGTCACAGCTGATTTTTTCAGCGACCCTAGGTAACTAAGGCAAGTCATCGCATTCGGACACTCATCCAACAGGCTTGCCTCACGGTACCTCGCCGGCAAAGCCAGCTTGGAGCACTGCGCCACGTGTACAGGCTTGACACGGGAACGTTTGTTGATCAGTTCTGTGTTAGGGGTACTGCAAGCGAACTAGACTCAAGTGCTATAGTTGTGCTTGTAACTTATTCACTTAACTAACAAATTGGTGCTGCGCTCATGCATTGTTCTGTACAGAAAGAAAGTCAGAAGCAGTGATCTGCTGGAGCTCTGCTAGTGAGCTCTGCTAGTGAGCTCTGCTATTGAGCATGAGATCGCAGCGAGATGGGACATGCTTTGCATGCCTGCAGGAATGGCTGCAGATGATGCTGCTGCAGAAGTCTCACCGGGCGCGACTTTTGGACCCCCGGGTGATGAGCAACTCAGATCACATGGAAGAAGCGCGGGCTATCTTGAACCACATTAAGAGCCACAGACCGCAGTGCTGCTTCCACAAGAAGCTGATGCAGCTGTTCGCCTTGCATCCACCATTTGAGGTACGAAATTGGGAAACAGCTGGGCAATGGAGCTGCTTCCCGGGTCTTTGCGTGCAGGCCTGCTCCGATTAAGATTTATCCCGAACCTTTGGATCAAGCAATTCTATCACTCCAAAGAAAAGGGGATTTGCTCTCTGCGAAATCTATTTCTGCTTTCAGTCAGGCGGCTCAATACCAACGAGCAGCTGGCAGTGAAAGCCGTCGACCTGCGACGCTTATGCCGCTCATCGGAAAGCGCATCCGGCATGGTCAAGCTGATGGCTAGCTTCGGTCTTCAGAGCTCCCGAATTACGAGTTTGACACGAAGACCAGTCTGAAGCAGTTTCGTATGCCTTGATTACTCAACACATGCAGAGCTGGTCATGACTGCAAGCTGTGCACGGGAAGCCAAGAGCATTCTATCCGTCTTGGCGCATCATCATAGCGCTTCAATCCCATGCCCGAAGCCAGACGCCAGCCGACCATGCAGCTCCATGCTTGATGGCCACGCATTCTCAATTTGAGGCCTCTTGGGCGACCTCCAGGATCAGATGACCCGCTTAGACAGCGAGGTCGGTATCCTCCACGAACTGAGACATGCAACCCTGCTGAAGAACGGCTTGTTTTGTCAGTAGACTGCTATGTGAATGTTGCAGATGTACAACGTTAGAAGGTCTTGGATATGCTCGAAAGCTTTGTTGGAAGTCCCCGGACAGCTGCTCTAAACATCCATGGATAGTCGGTAATCAGTGCAGCTAAAAATCCCTGCAACCCCTTGTGTCTAAAGTGGACTTGAGATTATGATTATGTTCTGGCATATCCCAGGGCTAAACACAGATGAAGAAATTTCCGAAGCATGCTGCTGCTCGCAATTAAAGCGGAGACCTTTACCAGGACACTTGAAACCAAATTCATGGAACGACAACTGACAGACCCCGCAGTCGCGCTTGCCTCGCTGAGGAGAGGATAGTCAATCTGCAAGGGTTCTACAAGTGGCTTGGCCGTGTCAGTCAACTTGTACGTATTCTTGGTTGGTGGTCCAAGTTTGCAGCCTGGAGTGTGGTGCAGGTCCAAGCAGTCCCGAAAGCGGGCTGGATTGTAGCCGTTGTAGCCTTCACTGTCCTACCGACAGGTCTTAGGGGCTCAGACATCATTTCTCTCTGGGTGACAGCTTTGATTTGTTGATACTTTTGAGGATGGCCCTCAGCTACCTCAGTTCTCATATTGAACTCAAGCTGAGTCTGCCAAGGACAGACAACTGGTATTTCCTCGTGATGGAGTTAGTTGGTGGAGGAGACCCACCACCATCCACCACTGTCCACCACTGTTGCATGTCAGCTGGATGGTTTCATGCATTGCTTCAATCCTCTTGGAGCGAATCTTGGGCACCTGAGTCCGGTGTATGAGACCTGCATGGAAGCAAGGCGATGAAAATCCCACAAGTTCTCTTGGCACTCGTTACAAAAAGCTTGCCGGTGACGAACCTTGCGTAGTTTGGGGATTGCCACTCAGCAAAGCCACCCAGCTGCAGCAACCCGATAGCTGGCTGAAGTTATCCTGTAGCTTCAGCATTCACGTTGATATGAAACAACCTGAGAATCCGCGCCCGGCTGCAAGGAGAGCTCTTCGACCTGATCGTGCGCAACAAGTCGCTCAGCGAGTCGGAGGCTAGCACCACGGCTCAACCAGCACTGCTCGACCTGGCAAAGAAGCTTCCAAAGCATACGTATCCCGCGGCGCCTGCAAGTTGGAACCCACTAGCCATGATGAGGTTGATCCCATGGATATGCTGTCGCGAGGCAAATTCAAGGCAGCTGCCAACCCCAGCTGAGGAGGGATGGAAGCCCACCCAAAGCCCCCTTCTCTGACCCCCCATGAGACCTCGGCTTGCACCTGTCATGGTGGGGTTTGTTGGCAACAGAAGCCTATAAAAATGTTTGAAGATGTCACAGGCTCTCAAAGTGAAAGAATCTCCGATTCAGGAACTTCGGGAGCATGTTGGGGCACTCGATGGCACTCGACATGTAGACTCAGAAGCCGCGCTGGCCGTAATGCCAAGGACACATTTTCCTCCAGCTCCTTGAGGGCGTCGGCTACATGCACGCTCGAGGCGCTTGTCTGGTGTTTGGACCAGGGAAAGTTCTGCAAGGGCAAAATCTTGCGCGAGGCTCCAATTCCTTTAGTCTGCATCAGAAGCCATGAAGCCCCGCCACAGACCCATGCTTTGGGACAAGTCCCAGAGGATCTCCAGGACAGGCAAATTAAGAAGAACCTGCTTCCAAGAACCGGCACCACGTGCTGGTTCATTCATGGAATTCTCTGCTTATTGCCCTGCTGAAGACAGTTGTGCAACCTTGCAGGGGAACGACTCTTGTGCACCGAAGTTCCCAATGTTGGAGGGGAAGGCTGTATCTGACCTCGGTAGACCTTACGCAACTCTACATAGGACCCAGCCAACATTGGTACCACCAGAAATGTCATGCACACGGTCTCGTCCAGTGCCTTGGTGTTCCTTGAATCAGTCAATCGCTGTTCAACACCAAGGAGCGGAGGGGCATGCTACCCGGCTTAGGTTCCCCTTTGACTAGCCTGACTAAAGTCTAAATCAAGTACGTGGTTAATGAGACGCAAACCAAACTAAGCAAAGCACCAGGTGTTCTACACCGGGACCTGAAGCCCGAGAACATCCTTGTGGCGGGATCCAGGCTTCCAAGCAATCCCCGAGAAGCTTGTCGTTCCCACCAGTACCACTCATTCTCACTGTGGGGCTTTGTACAGAATCGCAGTTATTGGTTTTTCGCATTATAATCAATACTAAGATGAGCATCACTTCTTATTGCTACTACTGTTAGTATTGCTACTACTATCATGACTGCTACTTGCTATTGTTTGCTTGCCTCTCCTACTGTCATGGAGTGGAGCGCAAGGCCGGCTGAGCCACCGGAATCGGGGCACAACTACGACGTGAAGATCGCCGACTTCGGTCTCTCCAAGGCCCTTTGCTTTTGCACCCAGTTTGTCTGGAAGAGATGAAGCAAAAGCAGAACTTCAGACTTATGAAAGCACTGTAGCTTCTGAATCTCCCGATGGCGGCACCGGATGTACCTCCACCTGCTGGGACATACTTGTAGCACTAAGCGGGCGGGTTCTAACGTGGGATAGCTTTACTGTTACACAGGCCGTAGATTCCGACGGTAATGTAATCGGAAGTTCATTCTCATGTCGGTGGGGCTTTGGAAGCATGTAAGCAAGCGGACAAATATAACGATGTCCAGACTTGACGTGGCTTCCATGCTTTCGTGGCTGTATGTGGTTGTGCTGGGAGCAGGATAGGTCGCGACCACAAGACGATGTCCCCAAATTCGTATGGCAGAGATCATGGATAGCTTCGAAAGTAATGGGCCTCCAGAAATTCAGAAACTCCGTGTAACAAAACAATGGGGTCAACCCAGGATGTTGCTTCCAACAGCGACAACACATGTTTTCGTCCGCCGCTCACATGTGAAGCCGAGCTTCACAGTTGTGATTTAGATTTGTGCTAAACTAAAACGACGCCTGACCGCTTGAACTGTACTCAGTCCCTGCATATCATTGCCTATTTTCAAGCGGCCCAAGCTGGAGGCAATCGGGGGCGGCGCCTCTCTAGCGAGGACACGTGTCGGAACCCCGCAGTACTGGGCACCAGAGGCCTGTGGGCTACTAAGGGCTCGCCTGCTTGCCTCGTCACTTTCCTGCCTGTGCTGCAGAGTTTCGGATGGAGATCTGATGAGGGGATGATTGTGGCGGCTGTTCTTCAATTTCCCGAAGTCATTTCCAGCATTGACCAACACTAATGGCCGGCATCAAGCTTTCTACAACTCGTGCGCCCAATTCTGGTCATTTCCGGCATGTGAGCTTCCCGCCAGGTGTTGGATGTGCAGAAGCGGGGTGGCTTCTCAGCCATCCATGTGTGGGGTTTCGACCTCCTGGAATTCAGGTTCAGTTCAATGATGATCAGTCGCAGTCCCCATAGTTGATACACTGTAGAAAGCTGTGTAGTCTTTAGTAGACATGTTGATTCCTGAAGCAGGGAAGTCTTTTCAATAGTTGCAAGAATGATGGCGCTGATGATGGCAGCAACAACATAGTCATAGTGATCATGGTCGTACAGTTGCCAGTCGTGAGGTGACGTCACCTAGCTAGACAGTTGCATCTTTCCCTTTGTTCCGGCAACGGTTCTTAGTAGCAGCGTGGGCAAGCTTCCAACTCCCGCAATGTCAGCAATCGGACTGCCGATTCGATTGCGCTGTTCTGCCAAAGCTTAAAGCCATGCAATTTTGCACCTGCGCTCCCAGTCCCAGGCTCCTACGACCAAGCAGCAGATTTCTGGGGATTGGGTGCGGTCCTCTTTGTGACTCGGCCATTCAAGAGGCTAAGATGTTCTCCAACAAGCCCCACCACTGCCTAGAATTTGCATGACAGCCGCGCAACAACGATGTACTCCTTTATTTCCTACGAAGGCCGGAAATGTTGGGTTTGTACTGAGTTTGTGAGATGTCCAGCATGAGTGGGCTTGAGTTTGCTGATTTGAGTCGAGCGAAGTTGAGCCTAGAGGTGCGTAGGGTGCCCAGAGTAGCCTCTCTCCAAGATTCTGCAAGCAGGGAATGTACAGTTGTGTATTATGACACTTGTGTTGCTTGCAAACAACTGCGGGATTAGTCCTGATGAGCTATTCTGCAGGTGCTAGCACCAAGAATGAGCACTTGCCACAGCTACTATTAGTGTAGTCCGCGGTAGGAAATACGGGGGGTGGCGTCGAGCACAAGTCCACTCCGAGGTGATGCTTTGCGGCAGGTACCCTTTTGACGGCCAGAAGCAAGCGCTGGATGACCAAATCAGAACCGCCTCGTACAGCATGACAGGCCGGAAGACGGTTTCTGTTGCATGGAGCTCAGATATAGGATTTCTCGAGATTCGGGACTCTAGCGGATCATTTTGCAGCAACAGAGGCTTCCTCATCTTGATTTTTTAGATTGGGATTCGACTGTTTAACGAGCGCGTTTCCGACCATCGTGCCTTCCATGGGGCAAAGATTGGAGCAGTAGTGCTCTACCTACGGAGTTTTGAGACTTGAGAGGGACGTTTGGGCTCCATAAGCATTCTGCTTGTTCCAGCGGGTTCGCATTGGAGCCACAACTTGCAGATTCAGTTCAAACGACCAGTTCCAATGCGCATGTGCACAAGTTCTGGATTCTATCTAGCGCAGTAGGAGGCTTCCACGGACAGATTCCAAATCGAGCAGGCTCGCGATGGAGAAACATCTCCGAAGCTGCCAAGAGCCTTGTACGCGGGCTGCTGCGTGTGAACCCGGTGGACAGGCGGGACCTAGCGGGACTGCGCAGCTCTCAGAAGCTTGCTGGTCAACACCTCTGGAGGGCTCTCGTAGAAGGTTTTTTCATACTCACAAAAGGCTCGGCACACCTGGACATGTCGCAGTCTTGTTAGGATCTGGCCTGGCAGCCTGTTTTTGCAAACTGTAGGCTAGCAACTGTAACTGAATTCATAGGGCCTGGCATGCCGGCTACCCCAGTATCTAGCGACCAAAGCAAGTTCCAACTGATATGCGGTCCTCCCACCTTTACTTAGACCCTGTGATCAGCATTCCTTTCTTGAGCAGGCTTTCCTTGGATGATTGCCTCAGCCATCCGTGGGTCACTGGTGAGCCGATGCCGCTGCCCAAGCGGCTGCCGCTGAAACCGGCAGCTGCTTGGCTATGTCTGCTCAATGTGGGCCCCCCTAGGGAGTCTCTGAAAACTAGGGTCCTTCTGCAGAAGTCCTTGTAGAAGGAATCTGCGTTCGGATACGATCCCCTCATCTTTGAAATCTCTACCATTTCAGAGTTTGTGGTTGACTGTGTCTTTGGACTTCGGGTTCATTAGAAGTGCAGCCCTAGTGGGACATCCTAGGTTCTATGCAAAAACCAGTTGGGGTTGGCATTTAGGTTCGACAGAGCATCTGACTGACTTGCAGAGTCCAAGCTCGGGCGGGATGCGGCAATTCAGGGCAGCACACCTGCAAGAACACATTTTTGCAGACACCTGGGTTCGGGGGCTCTTTGTGCGTGCAGGAAACACTCTCCGGCAAGAAATGCCTTGCTGCTTGGCGGGAACGATCTCAGACTTAAACTTGCCGCGTGCACTTGCATGGTTTCTGTTTCCTTGTTGTGAGCAGCTGGGCTTGAATATTTGGCACTGGGAGCTAGACCTGAACAGCTTCCACAGCAAGGGGCTTATGGGGCACCCCAGGGCAGGAAGAAGCATGTACGGTTGAGATGCACGGCAAAATGCAGCAGGAACTGGGGAAAATCGCAACTGGCTTTTGTTGAGACTAAGAGTTTCGAAGCTGGACAGACCTCCTGCATGTTCTGCGGCCATTGCCAACAGCCTTCGCAACACTACTGCCCACCCATGCCGCCTGCAGTAGCTGCAACTTTTGCAGGAGCTGGCACAACAGGCGGATCTCGCCCAACAGAAGACACTCAACTGACCTAATCCGCACAGTTGAGTCTTAGCGCATCTACTTTCCATGGTTCGTGCTGTTGCTGCTTGCCTTGAGTTCCGGAACCCAAGGGGTTATTCTGCAGAGCCGTGCACATCTTGATACATTTAGGAAACAGTGCTTGCGCCTTGGTTGAGCAAGATCTGTAGATTAAACCACTGCGCTGCTTTGCACTCATCACTTATCAGTATTTTCCTATTCGTGAGAAGATGTTTTGTTGTTGATGTTTTTCGTTACCTCATTTAAAGTTAATTACTGAAGACCGGTATTTTCCAAAGCCCCAAATATTAGTACTGTAACCATCATACTCCACTAAAAGTGAGCCTCCAACATTTTTCAACCCCCCAACCAGCATTATTGTCTGTATTGGGACGTTCGTGACCCTGCGTTGAATCTTCTGTTCTCTGTATGGGCTCCAATTCGGGAGCCCCGCAAAATTTCCCCATAATCTGAACTAGAAACCCCCTCGGATACCCATGGTCCAAACGGGCCAGTATCTAGGACGCCTGAAGCCCTAAACCTTAAGCCTCATGCAGAAGTCATGGACCCCAAGGTCCCAACAATACAGGGCTCTAGACCCAAACCCACCCCTGCACCCTACATCCCACGCCTTACGCCTTACGCCAGAAGCTCCATCTCTTCCTTCTTCAAGTATGGCCTCTCAGGATGGCTGTCATCGCCGAGTCACCCTGTGGCGAAGGCGAGGGCCAAGCAAGGAGTTTCCCGGAGGACCGGGTGTTGGGAGTTTCTGAATTTCTTTTGGGCCGCCTCTTTTTGGGGCATCCTTGTGGTATTGATGCTTTTTTGCTGTGGAAAGGATGGCCCTGATCTTGACAAGTGTCAGTGTCTGAAGTCATGGCACTGCTTTGGTGGGGTCCGTGTTTGAGAGGACTTTTCATGTTTTTGGGTCGCGGAGGAGTAGTAGAGCAGCAAAGAGAAGGGTTGAGGGAAACCGTGGACCCTGAGCTCTAGGACCGCAATGCGTCCCCGGCTACCAACCTGGAGTCGGAGCGCGCTGAGTGGCCTGGCGTATGGATGTAGTCCAGACAGCTGTACCATGGCCACGAGTATCGGGAGTGTTTACAACGATGATGACTATGGTCACAACAACAACGGCAAGAGTGCTCATGGTGACGATAGCATGAGCGCAGCAACCGCAACAAAATCACAGAGAATAATGAAAAGGTAAGCCGCTGCCAGAGAGACCCTTGCCTTTGTCGGGTGTTGACATGGCCTTGTTCTACTTCGATGGGGTAGTTTGGAGGGTCGTGTACCGGGCTTGTCATCTTGAAGGGATGAGTGCAAGTAGCATCCAGAGGACACCTTGTACCCCCCTCCCCGCCGAAGCTGAGCCTCAAAGCCTTCCATAAAGTGATTCTAGCCTATAGAATTTTGGAGGGCGGGTCTCCTGTGTCGCCGGCTCTGAATCCAAAAGGCGTGCTCCGTCTACGAGCTGTTGCAGTGTGTCAGACTCAGACGCTTAGCCGCGATTTTGGATCACACGCTGCAGATTCGGATTTCCGTGTGCTAAACTCCTAAAGGTTTGAATCATAACTAGAGCTGAATCACCGAATGCTGTCACAGGTCGTCTCATTACGACGGCAAATAGAGAAGGGATTATGCAAGCAGTCGCAGTGCTGGGGCTGAGTCAATCCATCATCAGTTTGCTCGCACAATCTCATATCGTCCGTCTCTTTCCTGTCGTAATCAGAGTCATCGTAATACTGGGCCAGAGCCCATGTCACAGAACACACAGCGGGAAAGTCTGGACTACCCAGGATTTTGGGAAGAGCTGCAGTCGCGTGGTACCTTGGCAATGTTCGCTACGTCTTTGTGTAGACTGTTTACATCACCGCCCATGCGCGACAATAGGAATACTCACAGTGCCTGGGGTCAGGCGATAGTCATAGTTCACGATGCAAGTTCCTGCTTCACTTGCAACCCCGTTAGCCATCTGAGCAAAATTGCCTTTGGCCCCATTCGAGTCTTTGGAGCTCACAGGTTGGAGGTTGAGGGTTGAGGGGAAGTAGGCTCAGGGGTCAGCCTTCATGACGGCGGAAGTATTGTTTTGGGGAGCATGTGGATTCCCAAGTTGGTCAGTTGAGTCAAGCGGGCCAAGAATCTAATCAAAGGATTCGCCAGAACTTGTGCCCAGGATAGTCTGCACAGATGCATGCTGAAATCCTTGCCGACAAGAAGCAAGCATAGAGTGAGGCATCGTGAGATCGCAGCGTTCTAGTAAGCTTCAGTCGTTTTCGTTGTTTTTTTCCTCCAGTCAAGCATTGGATATGCATTGGATATGCGCGGAAGCCACCGCCACCACAGCCACGCCAGACCTCAGCCATCCTCAGTGTGAGGAATCCTGAGGAATCTCTCCGCTTTAAATTCCTCCAGGCCAGTACTCCCAGCAGCCCGGATGAGGAGGCCCAAAGTTTGCAGGCTGGCAGAGTGGGAGCTGTTGCAGACTGTTGTACTTCAGTGTAGGGAAGGCGATGGTGTTTGGAGGGGACGTTATGGTTTCTGGATCGATGAAGAGCTTGGAATGGGGACGTGTTCTCGCCACAAACGCCATAGACCGAAAAGGCTTTCTGTAAGACAATACAACAGACTTGCTGAAGCCAGAAGCCTTTGCGGAGGTGGCTTCCTTCCTGGGAGGCGAGACCAGGGTTGACATCCTCCAGGGCTGCAGCATATGCTTCGTGGAGCGAGTCAGGTCGTTACAACGGCAGTGTTTCGGGGGTCAAGGATTGGGGTCAGCTGCTGTTGCACAAGGCTTGTCTTGCTTGGGCTGAACGCTGAAGCGGCCAGGGAGGGATCTTCGCTTCGGCCGCTGGTACTGGCTCCTCATTGTGAGCCTCGGCGCTTTTTGCATGCCAATGACATTAAAAGGAGAAATTTGGCCATGGTAAAACGTCTCTGCCCGCTCTTTTTTGCTGCGAAAGGATGTGAAAGAATTTTACCGTCGAATCACATCCCCATCTGCTCTCCAAACCAACAGCTGCCAGATCTGCCAGCGGGCTGAGGCTTCTGGGACTGGCCTTGTGGCGATGCCGTGTACGGCGGGAGCCCTTGGTGCCAAGTGAGGCGATTGGGGTCATCTTTAGGGGATTCATGAATCAAGTTTGTGCAAGCGTGAAGGTCCAGATTCTACTTTCAATGCTCGAGACTGTGTTATGACATGGCGCGGTCCTTCTCGTGCTGCATGGTAGGAGGGGGTACAGGCCAATGCATTTCTGAGTCCGCGTTGGAGCCGTGGTTCATCTGAGGTTCCATGTCAACTAAGTGTGTTAAGCGGATGATGGGATTTGCAGGTCCCCGCAGCAATTACAAGAGGAAGCCTTTTGATATATGCACAAAGCTGTCAGGCCAGTACTGCTGGAGTGCAGGTTACAAGCTTTGACTTCTTCTCTTTGCTCAGCTCTCCCCCGCCCAACGTCACTGCTGTGTGCAGTTGCCCACCATGAGCTTGGACAAAACCTCAGCTGGCTACCCCTCGCAGCTTGTCAGCAGTGGAGCGCCCCGACATAAGAGGTGCTAGTGCATGTTGTTATCGTCAGTTTTGAACTATGGTTTACTCAGATCTTTGCCCGAATCATGACGAAGAGGCCTGCACTCAGAGTAGCGCTGCAAGGAACTTGAGTGGGGACGGCGATGAGAAGAACATGCTTGCTGCGCTGGACATGCAGACGCCTTTGCACCCAAGCCGACAGAAGTGAGTGCAGATGGATACCGATGGGTTTGGGACGTGGGGGATCCCAGAATCATGGCCCTAGCTTGCGCGGGTTCTTCGGGCCCACCCGGATCTAGGACTCAAGCCTGGCGCAGACAAAATCCGGGTGCCACGAAGCTGCTGAAGAGCTGATAAGGTACTACTTGGGCGGGGTGCACCGCGGTGAAGCTGATGCTCGGCCTGATGTGCAAGTCCTCGCTTTAGATGCACTTTTCACGGCCAATGCTTCCGGAAGCGAAGGTCTGTTGCAGGCCAATTCCCACATGAAGCGCAGCCCATTCTTTGCTTTCTTGGTTTTTGCTCGTCCTGTGGACCCACCCCATGGGCCCGGCGCCATGCTGCGGTCCCAAGTTGAGCAGTTGCTATGTCAGCTCAGCCAGCTGTGAGGAAACCTTGCTCTTGGAAGCGTCCCCTGAGTCCTACAAACAGCGCCTTGGCATCCAAAAGTGCCGTGTTGGATTTGAATTTCTGCATCAATAGTGGCTGCTGCTAGCCCTCGCGGCAATATTGCACAAGCATTCCTGTTAGTCTCAGTAGCGGAAGACGGAAGTACACGGAACATGAGAGCTTGCTCCCTAAACTCCGAAACCATATAAACACTTGTATAGCTCTTCAATTAAAAAGATTTGGAGAACCTACTTTATAGGAGCCTCTTGTTGTAGGACGAAGAGCATCTTCCAGCTCATCGAGATGCTACGGAGCCAGGTGGCCATCGCAGGTGCCGGCCAAATGCATGACATTGCTTTGAGACCTGAACAAACCTTCCTATTTGCTCCGGTGATGCTGAAGGAATGATAGCAATCGAACAAAGTTGTATCCGTATTGCAGAGAGATCAGAGCATCAAAGTGAATGAAGGTTGATCTTAGTTTAAGATTAAGCCTCGCTACAGGGGAAAGCTAAAGCCATACGGCTGCCTCGCGTTCCTGGAAGCAATCAGGCTCCCTGCAGATGGCGAACCTCGCCGTCCGCCACGTAGACAGAGAGCTTGCGGAGGCAACGCGGAATGCATACGAGCAGGCGGGCCTTGCAATGTTTTGATCTGCAACACCATCTGGTTCAGCTATGGCCAGTCGGTGCAGAGCCGTCGGGCAGAATACTCTACAAGATTCTACAAGTCTATAAGACACTAAGACATTCTTGTCCAGTGGGCTTGTTGCCAAGCAGCCAGCACGACACTCTATGGACAGATGGATCTTCATAATCACTGAGCACAAGCCGAGTGAGCAAGTCTTTCTTCACCAAGAGAATTTGCATCACGACGACAAACCAGCCATCACAGGCGCGAGACCTTTTCAAGAAAGCCGCCGACGTGGTCTCGCGCTATGCGGATGTGGCAAAGCAGGCCAACCGCCGTTCTACGAAGCAAAGAGCCTTCGTGATCTTTGTGATCTTAGTGGCATTGTGGCAATCTGTTTGATGTTGCAATGGCAGGTGAGCGAAAACGTCCTGCCTGATCTCCAGCTGGCCGTCGAAGAACAGGTGACATGATCTATATACTGTACTATGCTAGTAAGCAGATCTCAGCGATCAAGGCTCCTCTGCGCCCCTGCTACACAGGAGCCTGCCATGGCTGCTGACATGCTCGAGATGGTCAAGGACTGGGTGGCCGTCGCTGGGCTGGGATTTGATGTTCAGGGCGTGGGCCGTGAAGGTCAACCATGAGCGTTTTATCGGCATAGATGAGACGATGAGACATTGTTGCCAAGAAAGGGCTGACTTCAGCACGAAGAGATAGCACCAGATTTCTGAAATCTCCGCGGCTGCTCTGTGCTGTGCAGATCCGAGGCCATGAAGAAAGACAGCGACATAATTCGAAGCAACTATGGCGAGCTTCAATCTGCCATAGTGACGCTTCCGGGACTGCACACTCAGTTCGCTGGGTACCAGGGTCGAATTGTGGTAGAGTGACCAGGGTCGAATTGTGATAGAGTAGGTGGAGCATGAGACCAGCCTTTTCATCTCTGTTTCATTCGGCTGGGCTTGGTGCAGCACCTGCTGTGCATTGAAGAAGCCTTGTACATGGCGAATAGCCTTTGGCAAAGACTGTCCATCAAACAGCAGGTGATGACATCAACAAGACGCTGAGCTGAGCATCCTACTTGTACCACGCTAATCGGCAGACTCTCACAGAGAATCAAGGCTACCAAGCTCTGTCGCCAAGGCTTGTCGACCGGACTTCCCGCAGCAAACAAGCCGCAGACGTCAAGCTTGCGGCGGCCGTGGCTACAGCGGAGGAGTCGGGGAGGGTATGGGGGCGGGGCGGGGGGTCTGGTGGTACAGACACTACCAAGGCGTATTCGATGTCACTCCTGGGTCACGTGAACCCTTGTGCGAAGTAATTAGCAAGGCGCCAAAGCATGCAATCTTTCTGCCCTCTGCAGAGCAGGAGCTGCGATCATAGCACCTTTTGATACTGCCTCCCGAGTTGGCATAGCCGCTTCCCCGCTTCCCCATGGATGCTTAGAGAGATGATGCGGGGGCCACTCAAATATCAGGAGGCCAAGATCGCCAAAGCCATGCAGAACCAAACTCATGGAGCAGGCCCTTGCTTGGATTTGGCGTTGCGCAGGTTCCATTTCGAGAGCCAAGCTTCAGAGGTATCAGCTGACGTTCTATGGGTCTGATGCCAATGGTAGCAACCCAAAGAAGTGACACTGTCTTTATCTCTTCATGTAGTGGGATGGTGCACGACGGAGGACAGATGTAGAGTGCCTTGCTGGTCCAAATTTTGACTAAGCCTCCACTCCACTTGGCGCCCACCCAGAATCCAGAGCTTCATCATCATGCTAGCAGGTGATCCAGGTGCTGCAAGTTGCGGCTTTCCTGAAGAAGAAGAAGTGGCGAAACCGTACCAGGCCTCCATGTGCAGAGACGGACAGCTTGTGGTTCCTCCACGCATCTTAGATTGGAATCTGTAGGCACTCCAAATATCTGCTGCTCAATGCTGCTTTTGTCAACGCGTCGTCCAGCCAGAGAAGCCGTTTGCATTGCAGGTCGCCACACGCGCAAGCCCTGACCTGTCCCCGGACATGAAGAGCGGAGTCAGCTCTCAGGCATCTTCACAATGCGATGCAAAGCTGGGTTCTTCCTATACGCTTCTAGGGCAGTTCGTGGATGGGAACCTGTCAAAATTAGGGATGCTCAACTGTCTTCGGGGCTGCTCTGAAGGACTCTGTATGCTACTCTTTGGGCAGATAGCCATGGCAGCCTCATGCTACAGGTGGACTCGCTGATAGAGGTCACTGACGAGTCGGTACAGCTGCAGCCTACGGATCCTTGGTCAAGTTCAGGGGATGCTTGCGTGCCATTCAGAGGAGAACCCAAAACAGGCATATGTGTTCAGAAGGCTGAAGGCTTGTACTTCCTTTGTGTGCATCGGAAAGAGTAGAGGGATTTTGTAGTCAATTGGAGCGAGAAGTAGCGACGGTGATGTTCGTGCCACGTTCTTGAACAAGATAGCTAAGACTGCTGCGCATATTCCAGTAAGCAGTGCCATTGCCATTGCCGCCACTTTGACTCCTGCTACTGCTGCCACGACCGCCTTGCTGCTGCAGCTCCTCCCCCTTTCTCCATCCTCTACTACTGCAAGACAACTATGACTGCCAATACTCTTGTGGGTACTGTAGTAGTGTCAAGACGACTACGACTGCTGGTGCTGTTGGTTCTACTACAATCATAAGTGCATTTTTCAGCTTCCATTTGTTGCCCATCTTAGGCGGCGGGCAGTGACTACATGGCTTTGGCCACTTGCCTACGAAAAGCACATCAGAGTAGAACAGTTTGAGGGGCAGAGGATGGCAGAGGGCAGCTTCCAGCAGTGACTTCCAAACTAACCTGGACTAGCTGATGACGCCCGCTACAGAGTGCAGTTGGTGCTAAGGGATCATTCCGGTTTTGTCTTGAAACTGGTTGGAGCTACTGGCTAGGATCTGCCCCTCCTAAAAAAAGTTCCGAAGTATGTTGTATGCTGCCCAATTTGATGCCAGGTGGAGCCCGTGAGGTGTAGTACCAAGATCACTCCAGAGCCTGTGCCATTCGGCAAGGTTCAAGCAAGAAGTAGTTTTGTAGGCTAGGAATGGATTGTTTGCACATGCCAGTCGGCATGATGAGAAGCGTTGCAGTCGGCTCACAGGTGCCCTACAAAGCGAGCCACCTTTTCCGGGAGGATGCAGAGGCTCCAGTCTGATTGTGAGGAGAAGCAGAGCCGTACAGAGTATAGGCATGTCGAGGCTGAGTGGTGCCTGAATTACAACTTGCAACAGCATCAGCTGCGGGAATGGATGCTTCCATACTGGTCTTGCATTCTGATTGAGTTCTTGTGGCTCTGGAGATGCTGAAGGCTGAAGCCATGTGAAGCCTCCCATCACTGACTCACCTCATGGATGAATCGTGATGAATCGACAAAGCCCCAGGGCGCAGCTGGGCATGCGGCCGACTCAAGCAGGAGCCTGCTTAAGGCCAGGGATATCCAAGTCCTTGCAATGCACAGCCTTGCTTCCGAGCAAGTTCGGGGCTGCAGGGCTGGGGCAAGGGGATATTGCCGTTTGAGTTTCAGTGAGCTCATGGTTCTCCTGCACGATTATCTTGTCGCACGTATGCCGATGTTGTTGCCTCAGCATGCTTCGCAGGCCCTGCATGAGCTGCGGCGGGTAGACTCCATCTTGGAGGGTTGCCCCTTGGCCGCTGCAGCATGCGAGAACCATCTCAGAGGGAAGTTCCAAGCACTTGCTGCAAGTAGACGGACGGACCGACAGGGTTCACAGCAGTCAGAAAATGAGGCTTCGTCTTCTGGGCCGGCATGGATCGTGCCGTCGGGGCCTTGTGGGTTCTGAGACAATAGATAGGTCAGATAGGTGCTGTTGCAAACGAGATGACTTGAGCCTTCACCCTCCTCATCCCTCCTCGGAGACGACCCGAGGTCCACAAGCTGGGGCAGATGAAGCAGCATGCCGAGCGCCTTGTGCAGCTCGACTGCGGCAAGAGAGTGTCAAACCTCCAGAAGGAGCCAAGAAACTTCCTCTGCTTAGGAAGAGGGTGTTGAGGAGCGGACAATTTCTAATGAAAAGCTTTCAGAGCTGCAGACCGCCTCGAAGTTGAAGTAGCCCCAGGGCCGCGCGGCCCGGACATGTAAGCAGTTCTGTTCCTCGCGGAATTGTTCTTGTCGGGTTTGTGTAGAATTCCTACATCCACCACGGAAGCTGAGGAACTTCGCCACCAGCACTCCAAAGCTGAGGGAGCGCTTCGACCAGCGTATGACAGAGTTTCTTGGCCTTCCGGGGCGGGAGAAGAACTTATGCTTCATGACTAGGCGGTTTGTTGGTCCTGGGAATTGAATGACCTCCATGTCAGTATGAATGTCATCCCTAGTCTTTTGCCGTTCTCGGTCTTTATCATGATCTCAGCAGGCAGCTGACCAGTCTTGAGTGCCCACTGGGATGTCGACATCCAAGGATCGAGGTTGTAAAGCAAATCATTTTCAATATTTGATTTGACTACCATGACCTGTCAGGCAAGGCTGTTGGGGCCTCATGCAAGATCAGATGCAGTTTGTTGCATTGTCAGCTTATGGGTCTTCATTATTTTGTGCTGTATATTGTGCGAATCTGCCTTCTCAGTAAGCACAGGTTGGCATCCACGCAAGGCTTGTGGATTGCCGTGATGCCATTTAAGACCTCTCAAGTAGCCTGGACTTGAAAGGTATGGCAAGAACTGGTCCGATCTCGAGAAACTGTGCAGAGAGTACAACTCGAAGCATCATGACGCTTGGCTACAAATGCCGCGAGGGCATAGCCTTTCAGGATCCAGTCCACCAGGAATATACCTTTCAAGTTCCAAGATCCATCAGATTTCCAGCACGCCTTCCATCAACAGCTACTTCGCGTAAAGCCAGCCATGCAGATCTCAAAGTGATATGCACTTTAAATTTACTGTTGCGGAGATGGAAGGCTCTGCACGCCACAAATCTCCCACAAGAACAGCTGTGCGCCTCGCAGCATGAAAGGAGGAGAACGCGAAGATGCGACATGTTGTTCGGGAGACTTGGCAACACAAGCAACTCTTGCGGTGCTTGCTCCGAACCGTGTTACTTACTTGACGCCTTGGCGTCACGAGTGTAAGCACCTGAAGTTGAAGTCAGCTTGCCTTTGGTGTCCTTTGGCGTTTTGTTCAGGATCTCCTTTTGAGGGCAGACGTCAAGGACGGGGCTCGGGCGACTGGTTCTGGCGGGAGCTTGGGCTGAGGGTATTGCAGCTTTTCATTTCTCACTCCTTCCGCTTGGGTTCGGGTTGCTGACAAGCTTCAAAACGTTTTTCAAAACTTTTGCTGGCAGACTCCGGAGCTTTCACATGGCAGAAGCAATACCGGCCTCGACTTGCAGTAATCCTTGTGCTTAGTTGGCCCTCAGCTATAGGATCCATCAGTGTTGTGTAAATTCACGACTCCAGAAAATTGATTCAGTGGGGTCACACTGTTCCAACACAGCCGGTCTTGGTTCCCCGCGCTCCCGAGCCAGGATCTTCAAGAGAGTTATGAGGCGGGTGCGCGTGCAGCAAGCGCCTCCCAGCGGCCAGGCGCGAAGGTTCGTCAGAGGATTTTGCAGAAATCTCGCAGTTTTGCTCTCATTCCACACACCGTCGCCGCAGAATGGGTTCCCTCTGGCATAGGCCCCGATCAAGCTGCGTAGTGGTACACACCTTACGACGACCACCGCATGGGTTTGGCTACAGAATCACGAAGCATTAAAGACCAACGGTGGGGCCAGGTTTCAGGGCAGGGCTTGGGGTGTGATGGGGTGTGTGGTTCCTCGCTGGCCAAGCATGTCGAAGCTCAAATTGTTCTCCTTGGCCCTGGAGGAGCCTTTGCCAGTCCACAGGCAGATGACAGATAAAGCCAGATGAATCACAGGGTTTCAAGCGGGGGCTTTCACGATGGGGCATGAACAAAATCCATGTTCTCCTTTCGATGACATTTGTCGGGCCCTGTATTGGGAAAGCCTCCGAAGTGATTTTCCAGCGGGAGGAGCAGCTTGTGTGGAAGTCAGGCAGCTGTGTACATGACCAAGTTCCAAATAGTGTCTGAACTAACGAGAAGACAAGCGCTTTCCTGGAGCTTGTCAGCTCCTGACTTTAGACCAGTTGCACCCACCTTGCTTCCGAAAAAGCTGCGGGAACAAGCTCGGACGAGTGATAAATGCGGCTCCGCGAGAGCCACGACTTCATGAATGGCCTTCTTGAATGTCTGGTCTGAGCTTCTCCCTGCTGCACATGGAAGGGCTCAGGTATCGCGAGGATTCACTGTGATCCAGGCATACAGGAAAAGAGCAGCATCAAGTCTCGCATACTGTCCATGCAAATGTTCAGCGGAGCAGCTCAACGCCCCACCAGAGAAAGTGGTTCAGCTAGAACATTGCAGAACATCGCGGAAGCGAGAGCTGACAAGACACAGTCATTCCTAGATTCCTGACCCTTTCGCTCTGAGGTTCTTGATCTGTTTTCGGGCCCCTAAGGGGCCAGGGACCGAGTAGTCTGGGCAGCCACATCATACCCCATTTTTAATCTTCACTGCTTTATACCTTCTTATACTTTCACCTCCAAGTCTATGGGCTCCTGTATTTTGCAAATGCTGAGCAGCTTGCAAGAGGCTTCCTCAAACACTGACCTTATCAACATGACTTCATCGTGGCTCGGTTCCCCTGGGGCTCTGGCCGGCTACACGGACCAAGCTACAGCTTCAGTGAGAGTGGTAAAAGCTGGCCCCGCCTGCCGCTCCGCGAAGTCGGCGAAGCACTACCTCTGCTTGCAACATGCGCCCTGACAGGGTTATATTTCTATCTCGAACTTCTTCACTCACCCCAAGACCTCAAGACTAAAGACCTCACGATCCCTTTGAATGCGTACGATGCATATGAATCCTGGCTTCAACGTCCAACGCGGTGGTGCGGGCCTTGATACTTGGGCACAGGCCCAGCTAGAGGGAGCTCTCCTTATGCCTCCCAACCCACCATTGCGGCAGCCGAGCTGGCAGAAATCCTTCCTATGCATCCTGTCACTTATAGTACAAAGCCGCACGTGGTTCCACCGTGTCAGGGCAAATCGGCAACAGGAAGTGGGAGAATCGTGTGGCAGACAGTCTGCATCAAGTTGAGAGACTTTCAGTGTTTGGTTTCGCTTTGAGTAGGCATGGCGTCTTTTGAATTGCAGCGGGAGGACTTGACTTCTTTCTGCTGAGATGCTCACACTGATGAGATTTCACATGTTTGACGGGCCGTTGAGGGCTGCGGGCCTGCGTTGAAATGGCAAGGATTTCTACAGCTCCGTGACAAGCGGCTGCCGTTTCTGCACGGCAATCCGACCATTGCGCAGCGTTCTACCGGCGCGTGGGCTTGCAGAGCCGCTTTCGACTCGCATCCCGTTCGGGGCGCAGGCAGACTCAATACTCAACCTTCCCAGACTTTCAGCCGCTGCTTACATGCTTTGCTATGCTTTGCTGGTTGTGCAGCGTTTATGATGGCTTTAATGCAATGCATTCTGGTGTCTGTCGTGCGTCGCCCTTGCCAGCAATAAGCCTGTGCGGTGCGTCTGAGAGCGCTGGCCAGTTCGGTGGAGTTATGCAGCTGCACCTTTGTCTCTGGCCTAATGTTTGCAAATGAAGTATTGGTGATTCAGCCTTTGGGAATTGTTGCAACAGCATCCAGCATGTACAATGTACCCCGCATACTTCTTCAGGCAAGTCTACTTGCTTGCCTGGGTTCTCGTGCAGCTACCAGTCTTCTCCAACCCTGCAGCGCCAGCAACTACATTTAACGCCTGAGACTTTGCACGGCTGTCAGACTCCAAAAGTCGCCTTGACAAGCGTCGCCCAGTGGAAAGTCTTGGTACAATTCCAATTCGCAAGCGAGCAATGCCTGGTTCTCGCCCGGCAAGATGCGGGAAGCAAGGCCCATCGCTTGCGTGACCTCCGTAAGTATGGAACGCCCAAACGGAGAGGACTGGATGAAGAGTTGGTTGTGTAGTAATGTAATTTGCATCAGAGAAATAATCTTTTGATATCGCCTACCCGTGAACTCAGTCGCTGATGGCACTGGCAGCATCAGCAGGCCGACGTTCTAGAAGTGTGTTTCTTGAACATGAGATCCTGGGGGGGGGCAGCTCAGCTCAAAGTAAACAGAAAGCAGCGGCCTTGCCTAGATTGATTGGCCCAGGGGGCATGTGCACATTGCTTTTGGGGCAGCCGAGGGAGCCAAGTTGCCTAACACATCGTGTAGTGAGACTTCAAAACAAAACATTGACCAGCATAGTCCCTGTTGACTTGAGCTGTCAACTTGGTGCTCACCCAGCACTGCTCTTGAAGGGAAGATTTGTAGTGTAGGCCAAAATTACGGCGCCGAGGTTTGCACAGGGTCATGCTCTTCGCAGTACAATCCGAGAAGCAGATGAGGATAGGAAAGCAGGTTGAGAAGGCAGTCATGTTGCTGCTGGGTGGCTAGCCAGAGGCTCAAGACACAAGCATGAACACAAACATGAAGTATAATTTCCACATCAGGGGGGCATTTTGCCAGTGACATACAGCTAGGCAGCCCGTAATACTCCCTTGCCAAGGAGGAAGCCGCAGTTCGAAGTAGCTGCGCGCACCCTGCCATGGTGTGGAGGGGACTGACCGATGCTGGCTCCAACCTCGCCGCGGGCAGAATTGCAGGACTTGACCGACTTCATGTTATGTTTGGAAGGTTGACGCGTGCTGCATCACTGCTACGGTCCTACCTGGGCACCCTCTTTTTGTGTCCGGTGCTGCCCTGCCCACTTTGCAACATCAGCGACAGGGATCTTAAGTCGGTGTCCAGTATGGTCCAGCGTCTGGCACGTTACATTGTCAGCAACAGCAGGGGGTATGAGGACTTTCCTGCTACAAGTCCTGTAGCAGTCTGTCTGAGCTACAGAAGTGACCAGGGCGTGCTCAGTAGCGTGAAGCAGGCCAGGCAAGTAGGAAATCTTGTGGCTTCCCAGGAGGATTTGGAGCCAGAACTGCTCCGGGGCGTGCCACTGCAAGTGCCCTGTCAACATTTGGAAACGGAAAGGTGATGCATTGCGCCATCCCGGTTGAGTCAGACCCTTTAGCTGTGAACTTGCAGATGCTCGGACCGTCGGCCTCTTTATGGTCCTTTTCTCAAGGTGGCCTTGGCTGGCTGGGCGCAGCACTGGGCGTCTGCGAGCAGCGGCCGCTTCGGATCAGAGGCAGCTGGATGTGCAAGACCGCCAGTGCTGGCCCGATGTGCATGAAGCCTTTCAGTACTCCCGCTCCCATGAGGCTGCTTTTAGCAAGTTTGTAGACATTTGCGGCAGCAACAGCACCTAAGAGAGTACATGAGGAGCCCAAAGTGCTGGCCTGAAGCGTCTCTCCGCTGCATCCTGCAACCATGACGGGTGCTGTGTCGGGTTGTGGTGTAGAGGCCTGCTTCTTCGACAAAGCTCATCTTGCATGCCTGATGCCCCTAGGCGGACGGAACCCACTTGAGACCTGCTCATCCATGCTGAACAGGTGGTCATTTCGCCACGGGGGTCGCCCTGCCCATGCCCTACCTGGCAACAGATAGTTAGCCCCATAGCCGCATCGTGTATAGAACGCCCCCGAACAGGAGACCACCCTGTATAACGCCAATTAAAGAGGGCCATATTGATAGTCAATGATAGTCACCACCCACAGACGCCTGCAGGCCGTCAGTTTCCAGTTGAGTGCTCCTTGTGAGCGCTTCAGAGCCACGGATGCAAGTTCAGTGATCCCTGTTGAAGAAGCGGCTCCATTGCTTGGAGTGGGGGAGTATAGATGGATGCCTAAAGGAAAGGGGCTCCTTTCTTTTGAGATATGTAAAAGAGATCCCCGTTCCATATCTTCCAGGGTAGCCTGGAGCACAGTGTGGAAACTTTCGAGGCTACTTCCTCAGCCATGACTGGGAGACTTCTCGATTCCAGAAGCTTTTATGCCTGCTCCTGGGACAGCAAGACGATTCCAAGCTCGAGAAATGCAGTACTGCTCCACGCATGTGTCACCTTTTCTTGCACCTGGAGCAACCACTACGGGGCACGTCATGGACGTAAAGCT